GTACTTAATGACTTATTACATGCCAACACTTTATACATAACCAAATACATACTTTGTCAAATACTTCTGATCTGATCTTTTAGTAGTGATACTGTCTTTGCCACTTCTATTCTTTCACTTCTCGTTCTTGGTACCTACGTGTAAATCACTTACACGCTAAGTCATAGACTTAGTGAGGCATATAAAACATATAATATAACCATATATCATTTCATATAAATAAAAGACATACATATACAAACATTATCAATAATCCTTTCCACTTACCATATACTCATCATATAACACATATAATTTATGTATGTGCATTCATATCATTGAATCACTACATATCAATATGCATGAATCTATGGTATGATAACAATATACAATCAGGTCATGCACACATGCAACTTACCTTCTTTTATCACTTTCACTTTCATTTGTCTTTCAATTTCATCGCCCATGTATATTATTGAGAATAGAGGTATAAGAGTACATTGAGGTTGTGCACTAATGCTGTCACCAAAGCTCGTATAAATGTCCCGAAGGACCTATCCAGAGGTCACACAGACCCCGGTAACTATCCAGAGGTCACAAAGAACCTCGGCAACTGTCCATAGGTCCCAAAGAACCTAGGTAAACTGTCCATATGTTCCTTAGAACATAGGTATATTGTCCATATGTCTCGAAAGACATAGGTAAAACCCTCGACTCTTGGCATGCCAACTATACCTATAGCTCTCGTATCATATACTATGGGCATTTATTTATACATTTCGTATCACTTGTTCTTTCTCTTCTGTCACATACCACATGTATGTGTAACCATATATCTCATATCATATCACATGTATTATATATATATACATGTATTCATGTAAATCATTTCATGTAATTCATATCACATATATCACATGTGCATATAAGCTTATAGCTTCTTTCACATATACATGTAGTCACATAGCTTTCTTTCATGTAACCATGCATGTCATGTCAAATAACATATATCATATGTTGCATTTTCACTTAAGCATATAAATCATATAACATAGCATCCATCTATTTCTATGTATTAATGCATACATGGTAATCACATAACAATTTAGAAGTTACTTCTTACCATAGTAACTCCATCACTGGCTCATCACAAGTCAATGTTAATTCAATAAAATAAGTACAAAATAAATTGCACTCACCTTAGTTTTGCTTTGATTCGATTCTAATTCCTCAATTGTCCTGAAACGGATCACTTTCTATCTCTACATAACAATACACAGATTCATATCAATATTCCAATTGATATATTCTAAACTGTCACTTCTTAGACTAAGAGAAAAGCACATTTCCTCTTTCAATGAAGGTATGCATCGATGCACTACTTGTGCATCGGTGCATAAAATGCATTCGATGTTTTTATTTTAAAAGGATGCATCGATGCATTATCTATGCATCGATGCATCAAAGGCATTCGATGTTCTTCTTTTAAAGGAATGCATCGATGCACTTATGAATGTGCATCGATGCACCTTGTCCAGAAATTGCATTTCAAGCTCGAAATTCATCAATTCTTCATTCAATTCTTCTATTTTAATCCCCTATTATGACTTTAAACTCAACTATCATTATTGAAACCAACTTATGTCCATATAAATCATATTTATCTTCCATATTTCATCAAGATTCTTAAAATTAAGAATCTTACTAAACTTTTAAATTTGTTATAAATCTTTTCTAACTTCATAAATCTCTTATTCTTCTTGATGACAAGTCAAATTCCATCTTAAAAATCTCTTATTAACTCTTTTCCAAAATTTCTTTTAAAAACCCATTTTCTTTAATCTTTCATAACTTTTTTATCTTTCAATCTTAAGATAACCTAAGCTTTCCTTAAGCTTAGTTATTATCTAATGATCAAAACCCAACCATAAATTTAGCAAATAACCAACTAACAAAGAAACTCACCTTTGCAAGCTGGCTTTTCACGTTTGAGAGAAGATGAAGATGAAGAAGATAAGTCTAAAACTTATCTCTTCAATCATACCTCTCATATATTATAATACCCATTTATTAATATTTAATATTATCATTGTTCAATGACCATTTTGCCTTTCATCTACTTTAATAATTACTAACAACTTTTAGGAATTATTTTCAAATAAATCATTGAATTATTCCATTCTTCTACTTAATTCATCAAATTCTTAAACTTTACAATTTAGCCACTAACCCCTAGTCTGGGATGTTACAATTCTCTTCTCCTTAAGAAAATTCGTCCTCGAATTTTCACTTTATAACAATATGAAGCAATCCTTATATACAGTCCTCTTTAATTACTCAATACATATCTCTTTCACTCATGCTATAAATAATCTAACACCACTTATAACACTTATCCTACTTGATTCTTTAAACTCTATCATTCTCATATCTTTCTCTATTTATTCCTCATTATCAAGATTTCCTTATAGCATAACTAAACCATATATTTTCTCATGTTCTCATATGCTATTTAATCCACTCAAGTAACCACAAATCTTATTTACCTGAACATTATACCTTAATGGGTTTATATCAATAAAACTACTACAATTAACTTATAACTAAAATTAGTACTTCTCTCATCATTTACTGTTCAAATGTAATTATGCTAGCCTAAATCAACCAATATCATAACACATTTACTATACAACCGAAAAATACCTACTAATAATTATGGGTCCTCACAGTCTTCATTATCATTAAGATTATATATTCTAGCAGTGGAGCGCATCTCCTGTTGAGTAGAAGATTCTGTTTGATTTCTTTCTCTACCTCTACCCCTACCTCTTTGAGACATCAAAACAGATCGTTCTGATTGTGCAAGCTCTCTGTCATTCAATGGACAATCTCTCATGAAATGTCCTATTTCCCCACATCGGAAACAAGCTCCAGATTTAATTCTACATATCCCACCATGATATCTTCCACAATTCTGACAATGACTCAATTGTGCTCTTCCATCACCAGACTCTACAAATTGAGTCTGTCTATCTCTCATCTGACTTGATCCTCTAGCGGAGGATGTCATCGACTCTGACCGTGCTTGAGATCGAAAATCAGAATCTCTACTTCTTTTAGGTGATACTAAACTCGATGAAGGCCCCGTTCTTTTAAAAGATTGAACTCTTTGATCCCCATAACGTTCATTCTGAGCTCTTTCAAGAGCTTTTGCACGATTCACTACCTCTTGAAACGAGGACATATTTAACACAATCAACATCTCCTTTAATCTCGGGCGTAAGCCCTCCACAAATCATTCGCATGCATCTTTTTCTGTTGGAACTAACTCAGCCGCAAAACGACTCAACTTATTGAATTCACACTCATATTCATATATAGTGTGATCCAATTGCTTCAGATTCAAGAATTCTTGTTTCATTTGCTTGATGAACTGGTCTCCTATATACTTGTGTTTGAACTCTTCTAAAAACAAGAACCAGGTCACTTGGTCACTTGTCATTCTTAGAGTAACGTTCGTCCGCCATATTCTCGCTTGTCCACGAAGCAAGGAGACTACTCCGTCTAACTTTTCCATATCAGAACAATGAAGTCTATCTAGCATAATCTTTACGTCATTGAGCCAAAAGTCTGCTTCAACAGGACTCTCCTTTGAATTCAGGAGCTCCTAATCCTTTTAAATCTTTTGCTATATTCCTTCTCGGAGTGGAAGGAGCAGGAGATTGGAAACGCATCAACACCGCGTCTAACGTTCTAAAGAAAACGTCTTGGTCTTGCACAGGCACTCCAGAAAGTGTCTGTCCTTCACCTTGCCTGGCCAGGGCAGGTGAATTACTACCTTCAGCTAATCTATCATTTCCCGCTACGTCTCGGGAGTTGTCTTGTCCAGACATCTAATAAAATACAATCATATCATTCTATTAGCAAAACAGTATACTTACTTTCTATCAGATCAGAAGTTTTCACTATTTCGTTGGCATGTATACTTTTTAAAACACTTTTGACTTCGTTTTTAGCCTAGAATCGGCTAAACCGTAGCTCTGATACCATTAAATGTAACACCCCCAACCCGTACCCGACCCAGATACGAGTCCGACGTGTCACATTGACTTTTCAAATCTTGACTCTTAAGAAAAATCTCGGGAAATTTAAAACTTTATTTAAAACAAAATACAGACTTGATCAGAGTGCTCGTACTTAATGACTTATTACATGCCAACACTTTATACATAACCAAATACATACTTTGTCAAATACTTCTGATCTGATCTTTTAGTAGTGATACTATCTTTGCCACTTCTATTCTTTCACTTCTCGTTCTTGGTACCTACGTGTAAATCACTTACACGCTAAGTCATAGACTTAGTGAGGCATATAAAATATATAATATAACCATATATCATTTCATATAAATAAAAGACATACATATACAAACATTATCAATAATCCTTTCCACTTACCATATACTCATCATATAACACATATAATTCATGTATGTGCATTCATATCATTGAATCACTACATATCAATATGCATGAATCTATGGTATGATAACAATATACAATCAGGTCATGCACACATGCAACTTACCTTCTTTTATCACTTTCACTTTCATTTGTCTTTCAATTTCATCGCCCATGTATATTATTGAGAATAGAGGTATAAGAGTACATTGAGGTTGTGCACTAATGCTGTCACCAAAGCTCGTATAAATGTCCCGAATGACCTATCCAGAGGTCACACAGACCCCGGTAACTATCCAGAGGTCACAAAGAACCTCGGCAACTGTCCATAGGTCCCAAAGAACCTAGGTAAACTGTCCATATGTTCCTTAGAACATAGGTATATTGTCCATATGTCTCGAAAGACATAGGTAAAACCCTCGACTCTTGGCATGCCAACTATACCTATAGCTCTCGTATCATATACTATGGGCATTTATTTATACATTTCGTATCACTTGTTCTTTCTCTTCTGTCACATACCACATGTATGTGTAACCATATATCTCATATCATATCACATGTATTATATATATATACATGTATTCATGTAAATCATTTCATGTAATTCATATCACATATATCACATGTGCATATAAGCTTATAGCTTCTTTCACATATACATGTAGTCACATAGCTTTCTTTCATGTAACCATGCATGTCATGTCAAATAACATATATCATATGTTGCATTTTCACTTAAGCATATAAATCATATAACATAGCATCCATCTATTTCTATGTATTAATGCATACATGGTAATCACATAACAATTTAGAAGTTACTTCTTACCATAGTAACTCCATCACTGGCTCATCACAAGCCAATGTTAATTCAATAAAATAAGTACAAAATAAATTGCACTCACCTTAGCTTTGCTTTGATTCGATTCTAATTCCTCAATTGTCCTGAAACGGGTCACTTTCTATCTCTACATAACAATACACAGATTCATATCAATATTCCAATTGATATATTCTAAACTGTCACTTCTTAGGCTAAGAGAAAAGCCCATTTCCTCTTTCAATGAAGGTATGCATCGATGCACTACTTGTGCATCGGTGCATAAAATGCATTCGATGTTTTTATTTTAAAAAGATGCATCGATGCATTATCTATGCATCGATGCATCAAAGGCATTCGATGTTCTTCTTTTAAAGGAATGCATCGATGCACTTATGAATGTGCATCGATGCACCTTGTCCAGAAATTGCATTTCAAGCCCGAAATTCATCAATTCTTCATTCAATTCTTCTATTTTAATCCCCTATTATGACTTTAAACTCAACTATCATTATTGAAACCAACTTATGTCCATATAAATCATATTTATCTTCCATATTTCATCAAGATTCTTAAAATTAAGAATCTTACTAAACTTTCAAATTTGTTATAAATCTTTTCTAACTTCATAAATCTCTTATTCTTCTTGATGACAAGTCAAATTCCATCTTAAAAATCTCTTATTAACTCTTTTCCAAAATTTCCTTTAAAAACCCATTTTCTTTAATCTTTCATAACTTCTTTATCTTTCAATCTTAAGATAACCTAAGCTTTCCTTAAGCTTAGTTATTATCTAATGATCAAAACCCAACCATAAATTTAGCAAATAACCAACTAACAAAGAAACTCACCTTTGCAAGCTGGCTCTTCACGTTTGAGAGAAGATAAAGATGAAGAAGATAAGTCTAAAACTTATCTCTTCAATCATACCTCTCATATATTATAATACCCATTTATTAATATTTAATATTATCATTGTTCAATGGCCATTTTGCCCTTCATCTACTTTAATAATTACTAACAACTTTTAGGAATTATTTCCGAATAAATCATTGAATTATTCTATTCTTCTACTTAATTCATCAAATTATTAAACTTTACAATTTAGCCACTAACCCCTAGTTTGGGATGTTACAATAAACTTCTATCTCTTTATGCATCATGTCGTGAAATAACGTCACCATGGCCCTTTGATATGTTGCCCCGGCGTTCTTCAATCCAAACGGCATTACTTTATAACAAAACATTCCCCACATGGTAACGAACGTCGTTTTTTCCATATCTTCTGGGTTCATCTTAATTTGATTATAGCCAGAGAAACCATACATAAAAGAGAACAAAGAATTTCCAGCAGTATTATCCACTAGCGTGTCTATATGTGGCAAAGGAAAATTATCTTTTGGACTAGTTCGGTTGAGATCCCTGTAGTCGACACACATTCGAACTTTTCCATCCTTCTTCGGTACTGGGACAATATTTGCCACCCACTCAGGATATTTAGCTACTTTAAGAAACCCGACATCAAATTGTTTCTTCACTTCCTCTTTAATCTTGAGCAGCATCTCAGGTTTCATTCTTCTCAGTTTTTGTTGTACCGGTTTATATTCAGGCTTTATTGGCAGTTTGTGAACAACCAGTTCTGTATCTAAACCCGGCATATCTTCATATGACCAAGCAAACACATCTTTGTATTCTTGAAGCAATTCTATCAAATCATGTCGACCTCTAACTGACAGAGTGTTACCAATCTTTATTTCTCTCTTATCCTCATCTGTCCCCAAATTCAAACTCTCAGTAGACTCTTTATGAGGTAGAATCTACTTATCTTCATTCTCCACCATTTTCAACAATTCAGAAGGTAGTTCACATCCTTCATCATCATCACAATCCTCGATCTCCCCTTGACATATAGGCTTCTCGAAATCAATCTCCGGGTCAGAGTCATTAGCATTCATATTATTGATATCTGAGCTCCTGAAAAAATAATGAAAGAGAAGATATATATATACATATATACATATAGGAGGATCTTTTTCCATATAAATAAATAGAAAGAAATAAATACATACATATATACAACAAAGAATGAATGAATGAAATGCATGGGAGAATGTTTGCCATTTGGAGCTAACAGAATGCATCTTTTATTGAAAGCAAGAAAAAACAAACAGCTTAACCCTTTACATAAAATCACCTATTGCCCCAAGGTATGAACAACAGGGAGAAAGTTCCAGTGCATTACTCTGTAAAAGATTTGTAAACTACAGACAGTTCTTTCGCGGTCCAATTGTTCAACACGAAGCCCGGCGGTGCAGGATAAATGCCCATAACTCTCATTTCCTCAAATTCATCATCAGTTATAACGTTAACGCCTAAATCTCCCAAGGCATCCTCAACCATCACCTCAGTGTTCCTTGAATTCCCTTGAAACATATGTCCCCCAGATATGAAAATGCTGCTCAACGGCGGGAATATCATGGGTTCCCAGCTAAGGTCTTCACCAGCCAATCTGGCCTTTCTCATTTCCTGACCCTTCTTAATTCCTCTCAGCTTATCCCTCGGAGTTGGCTGATACTCCAAACCAAATCGATCTCTTTTAGTAACAGGGCATATTGGATTCACTGGTCCTTGTAACTGACTTCCTAACCCCTTTCCAACTTTCGCTCCTCTTCCAAGAGTCAATTTGAGTCCCATTTTGGTACAATTTGACAGTCTAGGCTTTGGTATCTTCCTGCCTTCAGCCACAAATGTAGCATTGACAAACTCCAACGATCTAAAAGAACACTCGACTGCTTGCTCATCCACTTCAATGTACGGAGCAGTAGTAGAAACAGAAGCAATAATGTCCTCTTCAGCATGAATACATACCAACCTTCCATCAATCACAAATTTCAGTCTCTGGTGCAATGTGGACGGAATTGCACCGGCCTGATGAATCCAAGGCCTTCCCAACAAACAATTGTACGTTGGCATAATGTCCATTATAAGAAATTCCACTTCATAAGTTGCTGGACCAATAGTTAGAGGAACATCAATCTTGCCTAACACTTCTCTTTTAGTCCCATCGAAAGCTCGAACCACACTTTGACAGGTTCTCATAAGTGTACTATCTAATGGAAGCTTCTTTAGAGTCACTAAGGGCATCACATTCAAAGTTGAACCATTATCAACCAAGACCCGGGACAACACATGCCCTTTACATTTAACTGTAATGTGTAAAGCCTTCTGACTACCAATTATCCCAGAAGGGATCTCATTCTCAGAAAAAGATAAAAAATTATCAGCTTGTATATTGGAAACTAACCGGTCCAACTTTTCAATAGGCAACTCTTTCGGAACAAAAGTTTGGTTCAAAACCTTTAACAGAGCATTCCTATGGGCCTCTGAACTCAAAAGTAATGATAAAACAGAAATACGGGCAGGCAACTTGTGTAACTGTTCCACAACACTGTATTCACTATGCTTCAGAAACTTCAAAAATTCTACCGCTTCACTCTCGGTTACCGGTTCATTGATAATATGCTTATCTTCTTCTATCTGCACATCAACCTTTTTCCCCTTATCAACTGCAACCTTCTTCTCAGACTCTTTAGGTGGATTAAGAGAATAACACCTACCGCTTCTAGTAAAGCGTCCCACCTCATCTACTTCCTCATTCTCTTTTGTTACATCTCCCATCTGGCAATCATATCTCCAAGGCACCTGTTTATTATCCTGATACGAGAATGGAGATGGAGGTGTAATAACCACTTTCAGGGCTACCTTCTCAGCAACTCGATTCTTGGGAGTAATAATTAGGGGACAACTGGCATTGTATACCCCTTTCGACGATCCTTGAAGCGTAAACTTCCGCTTCCTCTTCTTCAGCAATCTCTCTAAATAACACAATTTCTTTACTGTCCATCATGTCTTGTACCAAAGATAGGAAGTCAGGACATTACTGAATACTGTGTCCTTCACTGTTATGATACTAACATACCTCTCCACTATTAAACTGTTCACCCGTCAAACTGGGCTTCAACAATCCTACCTTGACCATCTGGCACCACACCCAACTCATGGGTGATATCACCTCACTAACATTCCGTACAATTCTCTTTCCTTTCTCTTCAATAATCGCGTTAACTCCTGCCCCTGTATGGCTTGGCAACGGATTCTGAGCTATATTTGGCTGCTCACTGTCACCAAAGTTGATGACATTCCTCGTTCTCAAAGCTTGGACAACCTTCATAAAAGCAGTACAATTCTCAATGGAATGCCCAGGGTTCCCTGCATGGTACTCACACTAAGCACTAGCATCATACCATTTGGGAAAAAGAGGTTGCATTGGTGTCACGTGATACGACGAAACCACGTGCCGATCATATAAAATCTGAAACAATTCCTTATAAGTCATCGGGATGGGATCAAATTGAGGCCTTTCTCTCCTCTGGTCCCTTGCTCCTTGTCTATTGTCATTTTGTGTTGATGACCCTACTCCTTGAGGACGGGAAACAGTAATGTTATTAGAATCGTACTGCCTCACATTACTGACTTCGTTTTTCTTTTTCCTCGTTGGTGGCCTCTTACTAGACTCTCCTCCCTCGAGCTTCCCACTCTTAACAGCCATTTCAATCATTTCTCCCGCCATAACTACATCAGCAAAACTTCGATAAGGATTACCGATAAGATGCGAGAAAAAAAGAGCCTTTAAGGTGTTGACAAAAAGCATATTTGTTTCCTCCTCTTCCAATGGCGGGTGGACTTGCACTGCTACAT